GCTGTTGTTTTGTTTGTGTAAAAGATAAACTTTGAACACTATTTCAAAGTGATCTAAAATTTTTCGCCTACTTCGCTCCACCTTAGTAATTAGTAGTTTTCATTGGTATTATACATTTTTATTGGGTCGATGTACAATATTCATTTAATTTTAACAAAAACTATGAAATAACGGATTTTTTCCTAAAACTGCGGAGTGACAAATGTACGTTCATTCGTTCTGATGCATTTAATTAACACAAAACACGTATTTGAACAAATGATAATTTATATGCGCACTATTACATACGCTGATAACGGCGTTATAACAAATAAAGATCAGTTTTTTTTACCTTTCTCTCTGAGGTAGAGTGGTCATAAAAGAGGATTACTCTTGGTAGTAGTTTTATATTAAAATTTGCATCGGTATAGTTTAAAACAATAATATTTAATAATGATGATAGTGAACATGGGTCATTATTTGGCTCTAATCAAACACACACATTCTTGTATTGGTATTTTCACTTGTCAAGGTCGTTGGCTGCCTGCGATGTCGCTTGCCTCGTGACATTGTTGACTGCCTGCAATACTCCTTGGCCGAAAGAAGTCGTTGCCTCCTGCGATGTAGCTTAACCATTGAAAATATTGACTATTTCCAATGATTTACCTTCACCATGTCCTGTACACGTGACGCAGGACTGGTCCTTTTTACAACTTTTCCTCGAGTCTTACGCAACGTACATTCTAATCGCGCTTCTACGCGATCGTGGGGACGTCCCAGAGTTGGACCGATCCTCGCATAATAAATATCTACACATTAAGTAGCTGGAGTCTTATGATGCATCCGCACATCTGTCAATCGACAAAATGACGATCTCTGGGTAATCCTGCGAACCGTGCTCGCTCAATTCTTCTTATCGATCTTATTTGCTTTAAAATTGACTTATTGAAAAATATATATGGGGCACTCCACAATTTCTGGGGCCACTTTTCGGTCCGACCATCTTGGATCTTTCCCAAATTGTAACCACATAAAGTAGTAGTAAAGAAAGATAATTCACTAATTTTCAGCCCTGACGAGTCCACATATCACTCTCAGTGCACCTTCAAAGTTCTCAATTTTCAAAATTTGACTTTAAAATATCGTTGTTTTAAGCCCTGTATGTAAAAAACGTAGAAAAAATCCGTTTAACACGTTTTTCGGAGTAAAATTGGATGTCGATTTCAAAAAAATATTAGTTTTATCATTCAAGGTCATTTAAACCCTTAAAAATAACAAGCAAGTTTAAAATTGATATTTTGGGTCTAATCCAACCTTTTTTTGCTTTTTTGATTTTTTCATTCCATAGAGCAGGAAATTTCACATATATATGGTAACTTAATGGCTAGGAGGGAGCTTAAATAATTATATATTTCTATTTATAGTATTAAGCTGAAATTGTGAAATAAATTTATTTCAGAAAACAGGCCTAAGGGGCTTTTTTCAATACTGTGATTTCTTGTGGTCCGCTGTCTCTCCTCTTGGTGGCTGACGAACAAGTGACTCGACTTTCTTAAATAAAACCCAATAAAAAAATAAAAAATATTATTTAACTTCTAATAAACTAAATTTATAATAAAATGCAAACTCGACTTCGCGACCTGAAAAGAGGAAAAGGTCGTGTAATTTACAACACGGAGAGTTATGTTAAACTCAACAAATAGAATTTATATAACAATATATGGGGCAAATTTCCTGAAGTGTCCTAGCGCTCTGCCGCACGGCACTTTTTGGCCAAATCACTCAATTTCTAACTCGCTGTAAAAGTATCAAAACACACCTTAAAAAAATAACTAACTAGTGATTTCGATAGGAAATTTCCTCAGCTTTTCGATGGAGATATTAGATTTCCCATAATTTTCTATTTTCACCCGGAAAATTGTCATCAAACATTCAGAGCTCAATATCTCGAAAAACGCCACTTTTTTTGCTTTTTTTATCGTTCCGATCGAAAGATGAGGTCTTTTTACATCGGGCATGGTAGTTTTCAGAGTGTATTTTTGATGAAAACTAAGGAAAATACGGGAGGTTTTAGTTAGCGCTCGGCCGCTCAGCGCGATTTCGAGCCTTGCGCGGCTCGCTGTAACTTGTAACTCGCTCTTATGACATTGTGATTTGGCTGGAAAAATTATTAAACATATAGTTTCGATAGAAAATTTTGTCAGCTTTCTCATGGTGCAGTCGGATTTTCCGATAATTTACATATTCATTAGAAAAAGTAGAAAATAGATCTTCAAGTCCATTTTTTTTGGTGAAAATGTAAATTATCAGAAAATCCGACTGCACCATAAGAAAGCTGAAAAAATTTCCTATCGAAAACATGTGTTCGTTTATTTTTCCAGCCAAATCACTATGTCATAAGAGCGAGTTACAAGTTACAGCGAGCCACGCAAAGCTGGAAATCGCTCTGAGCGGCCGAGCGCTAACTAAAACCTCCCGTATTTTCCTTAGTTTTCACGAAAAATACACTCTGAAAACAACCATACCTGATGTAAAAAGACCTCATCTTTCTTTTTAATTAGTTACCGAATAATAATCAATATTTATTATTAAATAATTATTTTTATCCTACAGATACATATATCACTAAAGGAAAGCTGCAGATGGGCAGGATAGTCACCGGGGAGAATTGAGCCCAGCAAGAGCGTCACCGAAAAGCGAAGAATGAACTCATTCGTATAAGTCACTGGGTGGTATCTTCGTATGGGCTGGAATATCTCCTGGGGAATTTCTCGCACTCGGATGGGCTGGTTAGTCACCGAGCTGATCCCGACCATAGCATTCCAAGTGGTCGAAATGGACATTGTGGGGCCCCTACCACTCACGGTCTCTGGAAATATGTACTTTTTAACCCTGCAATGTAACCTAACCAAATATTCCGAAGCAATACCGTTACCCGATGTCAAGGCCGACACGATAGCCTCAGCTTTCGCCAACGAGTTTGTCTGTCATTTCGGCTGTCCAAAGACAGCAAGAATAGATATGGGCCGAAATTTAATTGGTGAGGTATTCTCAACCCTAGCTAAATTATTTAACATCCACCAAATCCACTCGCCGAGTTCGAGTCGAGTTGGAGTCGAGTCGGGAAAATTTGAGTACTCGAGTTTTTTCAAGTTCCCGAGTTTCTTTCAAGTAGTCGAGTTTTTCAAGTACTCGCAATATATTTAAATTTTAAATGAATAAATGATGAATTAACAGTCTCTAGACCACTTCCCTTTGTGTGTACGTGCTTTGATGAGAGCTAGCTTGAGAGTCGGTTCGGTCTTCGGAGATGATGTTGCCTGGGAAAAGACGGACGGGTCTCGGAAATAATATAGAGAGAGACGGTTAAATTTCTCTGCTCTCGAGTCGAAGTCTCGAGAAGCTCTGCTATAAATTTATTTCAATTGTGCTTACAAACTAAAATCGTTACATCCCTTTCTCTTATTTTCGCACGCGTTTGTTTACAAATTGATCAATCGTCGACGCGTACCGGCGCCTTAACTTACACATACATCAGCTTATAAGTGTGATGAAGTGTGGTATTATTAAATCATTTTCTTCTTCCAAATTAATCCACTGCGAATATCACACTTATAAGCATATACACACAAAGGGAGGTGGTCTAGAGACTGTGAATTCACCAGTTACTTACTTAAGGGGGGGGGGGGGGNGGAGGGGGGGGGGGGGTATGGTCCTGACCTCGAAAAATTTTGATTTTTTTTTTTATTGTTTTATTTGATTGTTTATACTTTCAAGTGTATTCTGTGAAAATTTCAGCCCAATCTGAGGAAAATTAACGAAAATATTGAACTTTTAATTTGATTACTAATATGCCATATGTGGCATTTCACGTCAATTCATTTTGTTCAGAAAATTCGTTATAAATGAAAAAATTTTTGGGAAAATCGAAATATCTCTACGTCAGTACCTGCTCAAAGGGTTTATGAAGAACTGCGCGAATTTTCAAAAGGATCGGTTGAATACTTTTTGAGTGACGTTCCTCACCGATTTGAAAAATCTTGACGTATAATGTTGTATCTTTGAACTGCCATTCCTCGAAATGACATTTTTCAAGTCGGTGAGGAACGTCACTCAAAAAGTATTCAACCGATCCTTTTGAAAATTTGCACAGTTCTTTATAAACCCTTTGAGTAGGTACTGACGTCGAGATATTTCGATTTTTCCGAAAATTTTTTTGTTTACGTTAAAAATTACGTCATAATTCGAAAAATCAATATAATTGAAAAAACTCTACGTCAGTACCTGATAAAACTCATAAACTGATAAGGTAATTTTGCATTTTTAGTTTCAGATGATTCTGTGAAAAGTTACGTTCCTCACCAGAATTTTGACGACTTTTCCGTAGATTTGCTCTCAAAGGTCCAAAAATGAAAATTTTTTTATGAAATTTTCACAAAATACTCTCGAAGTCATGTACTTTCACATGTACATTGTAAAAATAAATTTTTTTTTTTTCAACTAGTAAAAAAAAAATTGAAAAAATTATAAAAAAAACGATAAATCAGCACCATACCCCCCCCCCTTAAAACAGTTATTTACTTGAAAAACTCGATTATCCGAAAAAATCCGAGTACCCGTAAAAACTCGAGTACTTGAAAAAAAGGGGGGCACCCGAAAAAACTCGAGTACTCAAAAAATCGAGTACTCGACTCGAACTCGAGGAAAAAACTCGAACTCGACGAGTCGAGTTTTTTTGAGTATTCGCACAGCCCGCACTATTTGAAATTGTCAGTGTACGTTGTTGGTAAATCAATGCGAAACCTCGCAGACTTGCTACCACTCCTTCACTCCATATAAAATTGTACAGCAAGGTCTAAAAAAATTGGTCGGTAAATTATACATTAGAGTGTTAGCTTAAAAAAGAATCCAAAATCAATTTCGTCGTCATAAAAATATATATCACGTAATTCGTAGTTTGGCTTTGAAATGAATTTGTTACCTACTCAGAAAAAAATAGCATGTTATATCATTATACTTACAAAGAGACGATTGCGTAAAAAACTTTAAAGTATTTGATATTTCAATTCCTGATGGTACTGGTTGGGTGCCATAGAGTAATCTCTGATAAAACTCATGTAAAGATGCTAATTTTAAAGAATCTGAAATTAAATGAGATATGATTTAATAGAAGATTTAAAACTGTGTGAAAACTTATTTTTATTTAAATTTTTTCATTGATTATTTTATTTTTTATAAATTATTCGTAAAAGTATATTCAAGTGTGATTTTCCGAAACAAGTTTTACGAACATTTCAAACCTCACACAATTTTGAGTATTAAGTAGTGCAATACCGATCGTACATTAACTGTTTGGCTACATTGAGAGAAAAATCCGGGACAATTCTAGACAGTGAGCCCATGTATATCGCTTTTTTTTATCTGCGTTCAAAGAAGTACACGCAAGTTTCAACAGTCACGCTGCGCGCCACAACCGATGGCATCGTAGACCAGTGCCAAACACTCCCGATGCCCGGCTTTGGAGCGGGAAGCGTCAGCGATTCACTTGTTACAGACTTTCATCGGAATAAACACACAATATACACACGTTGTTATTCTCTCTCAAACTGTTAAATATACGTACGTTGTTATTCTTTCTTTGTAGTTTGTAAGCTTTTGTACTAGCTCTTGTAATTACTTTTAAGGTGAGTCATACACCAATTTACTCCTCATTGTCATTTTTTGATATAAACCACAGTTTAATGGCAATCTACATTTTCAACATAAAATTGATATCTTTGAGCCCTAAAAAATGTGAAAAAAGTTGCAGAATAGGCCTTTGCATCTAAAAGTAGCTCATTTTTGCTATTTTAGCCTTTCGGCACTGTGCGCAAGGTTCAGATCAGAGTTTTTGAGGGAGGTCTTGATAGATCTCAAAATCTTCAGAAAAGTATCCTTTATGGGCTGAGTTTTGTGGAATTTTGATTTAGATCTTCATATCAATTCTATTATTCAATATGTGCTCAAAAACATTTATAAATTTTTTTTATATCTTGCTTTTTTCACATCTGTTGGCATACAAACTTTTTTATAACTCTAATCAAAATTTTACAAAACTCAGCCCATAAAGGATACTTTTCTGAAGATTTGGAGACCTATCAGGAACACCTACCTCAAAAACTCTGATCTGAACCTTGCGCACAGTGCCGCAAGGCTAAAATAGCAAAAATGAGCTATTTTTAGATGCAAAGGCCTATTCTGCAACTTTTTTCACATTTTTTAGGGCTTAAAGATGTCAATATTATGTTGAAAATGTAGATTGCCATTAAACTGTGATTTATATCAAACAAATGACAAAGAGGAGTGAATAGGTGTATGACTGCCCTTAAGCTTACGTTTAGAATAAATAGTCTTGTGTCTGAACCTTACTTTAGTCTTATATATTCATTTATAGAACTGCGTGGTATAAGTGCACATTTATGGCACGCTTTTCTGTGGCCTAAGTAGCACATTCTTGCACCACTGCGTTCACATCACACTCACATACGCTCGTGTGCTAGCTTCACTTCGCTCTACAAGAAACTGCGACTCTTGAATCGAAAAAAGGGACATAAATGCGAACTTAGCACAGTGCTATAAATGTTATGTATAAAATATAATATAAAATATATACAATAAAAATGTAATATATATAAATGTAATATAATGTACGATACTCGTGCCATGGGGACACTATTTAGTACGGAGTAGTTTACGGCCCAAGCGCAGCGAGATTTGGATGTAGTGAAGCTTGGTTATCGCGTTTTTGACTTTTACTTGGAAAGGTTTGTTTTATTAGTAGGACTTCAGCATCTGAAAGTGATTTCTTAAGAAATTCTGTTTAATTTTGTGAAGAAGGCCTGCATGCCATACTTTATCAAAGGCCTAAGCTACATGTAGGAAGACGGCGGTCCAAAAACTTTCATTTCAAAAGCATCTCGTATTTTGACAATTAGTCGATTGACCTGCTCAATCGTGGAATGTTTCTCTCGAAATCCAAACTGATGTCCTGGTATTAAATTCTTTTTGTCTATAATACACTGCAATCTCTTGAGTAAAATCTCTCGCATAATTTGGAGCAGACAAGCAGTAGACTTATAGGTATGTAAGAAGATACGCTTTTGGGAGGTTCTCCTGGCTTTGCGATAAGTATAATCTGGACGACTTTCCATTGGTTGGGAAATATTCTGAGTCGCAAGCAGGTGTTGAATAGAATGGTAAATATCGCTCTGCATTTGTTGGTAACTGCTGCATAGTTATACCGATAATGCTATTGCACCCGGGAGATTTTTTTGCGTTGAGCTTATGATTTTGGTTTTTCACTTCTTTCACTTTATAAGAGGAGTTCTTCTTGCAGTTCTGTGATTCGTTTCGCTGGAGTTTGAAATACTTTGCTGCAGTTGGAGTCCGGTTTTCAAGGTAATTATTAATTTTTTATTTTTTGTCGTCGTTGTAAAATGGTGGCGTGTTACTGCGCCATACGCTCATGGCAGAGTCCGGTGTGTGGCTGAAACCCTTCCATTTCTTTCCTTACCCGTGACAATTAAATATACGCGAGTCAATGCGTCGAGCGAGTATACGCGAGAGCGAGACGAATAGGGCTATGTGATGCGTATGGATCAGCTGAGTCACGCACACATCTGACAATCGATCAGGTGATTGATCTCAAGACTGTGGATCAAGAAGACGGCTTTATTAGCTAATGATGGGTCTTATTATGAACGAACAAGGCAGAGTTACAAACTCTGCCTTGACCAGGCACGAATATGCTTGGGAAGCTGAAAAAGTATCATTGAGCTGTATGTGAGGACAATGGAGTGTAGCCGACCTCTGTTTGCCCAAATCATCGCCGTATCTACCCAGGTCCAGCCATTGTCAAGCAGCCGAGTAAGTCGAAATTTACAAATATCGAAATCTGCCGAGTGTGCTCTCTCTCATATCGTGTCGCGATCAAAATCCATCGAACCCATACCCGCACCCACCGTAAAGAGTCTTATAAAGCCGAGTAAAATAGATTAGAGTCGTAGAATTGAGTATTATTATTGATTGTATTCCTAACTTAATATTGTATAAATTTGGCTACTGATAAGGCGTCATCTTAGTGACTGGTACTTGAATAAATACCTTATAATTTATTTTTTTTATTTATTAAAAATATCTAATACTTATTTCGATACTACTCGACAACACTTCAGCAAAAAGAAAACCAAGACGAGCCACGGTTAGCCCTGAGTGGCACCCGTTACATCATGTAGCAACTTTTTTAATTATTTTTCAGTTTTCATTTACAGTATTAGTCTGTAAAAGTGGAAAAAAAATTTTTTTTTCAATAAAACACATGATAAACTTTTTAATACCTTATTCGAAAGTATTTTGTTCAGTTTGATACTAAGAAATAGTTCAGTACAGTGACAGGGAGTGTAAGGACCCTCTACATAAGCGTTAGACACATCTAAGCTACCTGTCGTAGAATTCCAAGAGAGAGCTTCAATCTACTGTGGTCTATGCGGTTTCATTTTGTTCGATAGCCAATTGGGCATAGTAGCAACCAAAAGCTAGATATAAGTCGAACTGTAGGTACTTGCGCATATCGCAAAGTGAAATTAATTTATGGAAAATGATTCAAAATTATTACTACATTCTAGAAAATTGTACACACGAGTAACTAATGTTCATCTTATGTCTAGCTTCTGGATTCGACGATGGCCAATTGGCTATCGAACAAAATGAAACCACATAGGCCACAATAGATTGATGCGCTCTATTGCGCTCTCTATTGTTATGCTGCTCTCTATTCTTTATTAATGCTGAGCAAAGCGAAGTCTCTTATCCTTTCAGCTCGGTAGATTTTGACATATTTTGTGACAACGGTTTCTGGAAAACGACTTTACCGAATGGTCTAAAATTTTTAAGGGTTGTTGAGGGTGGTCAGCCGAAGGTCTGATTGCCACATTCCGTCGACCTGGTGCACCAGGTCGCCGATCTGGCCCCTGTGAAAACTTCTTCGAGAATTTTCGTTATTATTAGGTTGTGCTGAATGTGTAAAAAGTGTCAAACCACATTCCATCGACCTGGTGCAGCAGGTCGCCGATCTGGCCCACGTGAAACCTTCTTCGAGAATTTTCGTTATTTTCGGATCGTAGTGACTGATTGTAAAGTGTAGAACCGGATTCCGTCGACCTGGTGCACCAGGTCACCGATCTGGCCTCTGTAAAAACTTCTTCGAGAATTTTCGTTATTTTCGGGTTGTACTGACTGGGTAAAATGATACTAAATCATTTAATTTTTACAATACCTGTACAAAAACCCCAATTTAATCATGTTCCAATGCTTATTTATATTTGCAGAATACGCATAACAAAAATATTATATTCTTCAACGGGTGCAGTAATGGCTTTTTAAAAAAATAAGCGATGATGGCACGAGCTGAAAGAGAATTTTTAGCTCATCCAATTTTTAAATCATTGAAAAAGCTAACACATCTAACACATTTAACCTTTAGAGGGCTGGGATTTCAGAGGTCATATCAACATCCAAAACATCTAACATATCTGAAAGAGGGTGAATGTGCTTGGTCACCATCCAATTTTCGGCCAATCAGAGATATTATTCAAATAAATAGAAATATATGCAAAATTTTGAAGCAATAAAATATTTTTTCAATTCTACAACTGTTATTGTTTCAGAGAAAATTCTTAGTACCCTTGAAAATTATTAAATCAACGTGCTGGCATAGTCGACACTCGTGTCTTTTTCCGCACACTCGTGCCCAAAAACGCTTTTTGCGCACTAATAAATGTGCGAAAATAGTTATTTATGTAACAAGTGCCCAAAAAGCTGGGCACGTGTTGCATACAAAATTTTATGCAATAGTAGGCGAAAAATACGTTCATTAAAATGAGGCGTTTTACCGCACACCCGTGTCCAAAATGGGGCATTTCACCGCACACAAGTGTCCAAAAACGCTTTTGGCGCACTAAAAAATGTGTGAAAAAAGACATTTTTCGTCATACTATTGCATAAATAACTATTATGCAATTGTAAAGAGAAAAACCCCCTTTTGGACACACTTTTTAGTGCACAAAAAGCGTTTTTGAACACTGGTAAGCGGTAAAATTTCTGA